TTATATAGGGTACTACTTCTGAAAGGATTAATTAACGCTTCCACAGTTCGAGGCCCTTCGTTTGTTGGACGGTGCCTGATGCCATGCGAATCTGTGTAAACTATAAATATGACGTTAAAAGTAAAAGCATGATCTGAAGAGTTTGAATGCCAAGGTAGTGGGAAGCCTCATGAAGACCACACCAGCACGCCCATTGAGGCCGTCGACAAGCTCGACGCGGTTGGCAGATGGCGCTGTCGCTGAATCTCGGTGCTGATCTATACGGTATGATATTGCGGTCAGAACTTATGCCACCAACCCCGACTCGATCGGCTGCCTAAAGCACCCTACTAGACGGCAGCGATGGAGGAAAAAAATTATAGTTAGTTAAATGTAAATAAAAAGATATATAATATGTAAATTTTAAATTTAAATTGTACTAAGATTAAAGTTTTGAACTTAAATGAAAATTTTTTACATTATTGTAAAATTATGTTTTGCATCTTACAGTAGCGTTCAACTCATAGCATGCTCCAGCAGATGGCGCTGCGGTATTCGTATACATTATTCTTCAAAGTCATGGGAAAGGTCGTCAGATTTTCCAATTCGTGTGGAAATCTTTGAAAGACCATTTTACCGGTCTTATTCCTTTTTTTATTCAACATCTTTGGTAAGTGCTAATTATAATAAATAAAAACTAAAAACTTTTAAAGAATCTGTTTTTTTTTTTTTTTTGAGAAAGTGAGGGCATTTTTTCAGCTTCCTGCATCTCCTCCGATCCCCGTTGCCGAAGTTTCTTTTGAATTCCAAAATAACCCCGAAAAGAAACAACTGGCATATGACGATGATATTGTATTTATATCATAAGCCTTAATAATCGCGATGATTATGACGATGGCATATGACAATGATATTTATATCATAAGCCTTAATAATCGCGATGACAGTTTTGGTTAATCCAGACTTGAAGCGAAGCAAATGGGTTTGTTAGTGAAAGAGGGCTAGTCAAACAGTCATCGCATTCCTACGTCATTGTTGACAGTCATAACTTGTGGGTCGTAGATAATTTCGTCTATCCAGGGACCAGCATTAAAACCAATAATAATTTCAGCCTTGAGATCCAGCGCAGAATCACTTTTGCCAGCTGGTGCTACTTTGGACAGAGTAGTTAGTTGAAAAGTAAAGTCCTTTCTCGGCGAACGAAAACAAAACTCTACAAGTTGCTCATCATACCCGTCCTACTATATGGCGTAAAAGCATGGACGATTTTAACATTTGATTAGTCGGCGTTAGGAGTCTTCGAGGGAAGATTTTCGAACGATTTATGGTCCTTTACGCATTGACAAAGAATATCGCAGACGATGGAACGATGAGCTGTTCGAGCTATATGATGATATTCAATGCAGTACCCGCTCGTGGAAGCAGATGAAGAGGATGACCTGCACTCATTTGGAAGGATCAAGTGGAGAGTGACCTGGCTTGACTTGGAATTGAATCCAGACGGCGAAAAGAAGATATGTATCCAATATTACTTCGATTACGACAACGCCAATAAAGAACCGGGAGACATGCGATCAGTACGAAATCTATTCAAATATGTGCCGTTGCAAAATTACAACAACATCAACTGATTGTTGCTAATTGCTGATAATAAAGCGTCAATACAACAACTTCTGATTCTCGTGTTATTGTTATCCAAAAATATCAGGAACTGCATAAATTTGTAGCCGACTATTCTGCATTAGACAGCATCGGCGTTAATCCGTCATCATTAAAACTGACATCTGATGAAGCATGCCCGTTTTATGTTAAAGAGCAGTAACATTACGTAGTTGGACCTCTTTGTAAATCATTCCCACCTAGACTGCCCTGTGGACAGCGTCGTATGCAAATAGATGGACCAGTTCGCTGCTAGATACAAGGCAGAAATGTCAAATTATACTATTATTCCACAAGACTGACTGAAAATGGAGCTAGTTCATCGCACCCGCAACCTGCAATCGTGGTACTTACCGCATTGTGATGTGTGCTACCCGAATAAGCCAAGTAAACTATGGTTTGACGCAGCAACTACTGTCTGTAATTTGAACTTGAATCCGACACAGCTGAAGGGTCATAAAGAAGCCCAGCCACTTATTTATGCGTATTTTACTAGTGTAGTTATCGCCGACTCAGTTCTTATATGAAATTATTCAACCTGAAGTTGTTACAAAAACTAGAAACATCAGAACGAATGTAATGGCAAAAAGAGACAGCATAAAAGTTTGAACAAAATATAATTCTGAGTTCTGCCACATTCTTAGACAGCATTTTTAATCGATTTGAACAAGACAAATGTTGGAGATTCGTTGGATAATCCTTCTCTTTCTGGCCTATTTCCCAACAAAGGAATGCTTAAAAATATGAGAGCTTAATTTTGTACGTGGGGCTAATCTTTCTCTTTCTGGCTTATTTCCCGACAAAGGAATGCTTAAAAATATGAGAGCTTAATTTTGTACGTGGGATTATTTGTTTAATCTCGGGCAGTGCGACCATATGTAGAAGTTCTCGCAAGAGAAGAAAGTTTTCAACTGTCATTCTCCTGGGAGTGGCCACAAACGATTATTTAGCATATGGTTCAAGCAGCTCCCGACTTGTACCCTTTAGAGGTGAGATAAAATGAGAAGGCGAATTTCATGCGATTGTGACCCAGAACATGGAAAAAATTTACAATGAGAGTCACTGAATATTATCGACTCGATTTTTCGGATCGCAAACTTGCGAGTTTATTACTTACACTAACGATTATACAAATCACTAAATCAGTTTTAGGGATAAACATTAACGAATATTTTGTTTTTATTAAAGTGGAAGAAAAGTGACACTACAGCTTAACAAAACGTCCAAATATAATATGTGAAAAGCAAACAAATTCTATATTGCTGCGAAAATGCGAGGCGAATGTCAGACGAAAGAGAGAAGCCGATAACTAGTACATTCTAGAAACGATAGAACGATAACCTTCGGTAGCGAACTACTCGAGTATTCTACACTTTCGTCTACGAGCAGCCGACTCCTATATAAGGGCGAAACGCAGCTGCCAAGTCAAGTTAGTTACAAAGTGAACTCGTTGGCGTTAACATAGAGTATAGCGGAGTACACGCGTTAGAGATTACATTTAGGTAAAGTAAATTGTGAAAGTTGATGCCAGTGATTGTAAATAGTAAAGTACATTGTAATTGAATTGTGAATTACTGAGTAAATAAAGGACATTAGATAAATTCTTTATAACGAAAGAAACTGCAAATTAAGTTGGCGAGTTTTTATTTAACAATCTAGAGATCGTACCCGAAGGATTCAGAAAACCATCGAGGTTTATTTAGCAAAATCGTAATAATTGGTGTTAGAAGTGGGAATGTTAAATAAATCCCAAAGGATAATATTTGCAAAATGGTAGAGATTCAGGATTTGACGATACCTCCTCTCAAGAGGGAGTTGGCAAAGCGAGGATTGTTGACAATTGACATTGCGAAAAGCAATGGAATTTGAAAGCATCGACTTGAACCAGTACGAGATCCATTGCGAGGATGAAGATGTATCCTTGAAGGACATTAACAAGGAAGAGGCTGATAATTCTGTGAAGGAGTTGGAATCACCATTGAGTAAGATTCAAGAAAAGAACCCTGACTGCGATTTCACAAAAGTTGGATGCACAGGACACAAAAATTAACGCCAGCATCGCACAAAATATGTCTGAAATGTGGGCCAGCATTTCACAAAAGCTGGATGCACAGGACACAAAAATGAAAGCCAGCATCGCACAGAATATGTCTGAAATGAAATCCAGCATTACATCACAAATGGTTGAACAGAGAGAGCAGATGTCATCCTTGGAAGGAACAATAGCGCGCGCAAATACAGCAAAATCTGGTGAGGAACATTGCGAAACTTAAGGAAAGGCAGGATCTAATTGAGACCAAAGTCAATGCATTGGAAAGTCGCTTCCGGGAATTACAGCTAAATCGTCCAACCGCTTCAGTGAACGCTCCGAAGGTAAAAACACCATCTTTTGACGGGAAAATCCTAATTCAACTGAACTGACAGCTGAAATAAACAACTGGAGCATAGAGGAAAAATCGGCTGCACTATTCGTTGCGTTGGAAGGACCTGCAGCCTATCCGTAAACGAGAGAAATGATTACGACGGATTGATGCGAGCCCTGAAAAGGCGCTATGGTAGCGAACACAGACGTCAGATTTACCAGATGGAGTTAGAAAAACGCGACCAAAAATCCAACGAATCTCTGCAGGAATATGCTTCGGAAGTTGAGAGATTGGTTCATTTAGCCATTGGAGACACATCGGGTGAGCATCTTGAAAGGGCGAAGATACAAAGATTCATCAGCGGAATAAAAGACGTGTACGTCAAGCGAGAGACATATGCGAATCCAAAGTTGACATTCGCTGAAACTGTTGCGTATGCACAAACACGTGAAACGGCGGCGCTCATAAGCAGACCATCTTAGAAAGTCAATAAAGTGGAGGTTGAAACACCAGATGTGATAACAGAAATATTGAGAACCCTGAAATCGCTAGAAGGGGTGAATCGTTCTGATTTCAAAACTCAAGCGGGAAAGTGCTTTAAATGTGGGAGGTCTGGTCACTACGCACGCGAATGCAAAGCCAGTTCCAACGGACAGGAGGTACAGCGAAAACGGAAGGCAGAGGAAGATGNCAAATACTTGGTACTCGAAAAACCCGAACGACGGTGCTACATCCTCAATCAGATGGTATGCCAGAGCAAAAGTTGCATCTGACTGTGGTCACGTGCCGGCGCACTATGGTTTGAGTTTTTATTTAACAATCCACAGATCGTACCCGAAGGATTCAGAAAATAATCGAGGTTGATTTAGTAAAATCGCGAAAATATGCCAAGTTGTCAACTGATCCTAAAGTTTTTTTGTGAGCAAAGAGCATAAGGTATACGAAATATCTGAATTCGCTGCTAATGCAGATAGTAACGTGTAGGCGAAATTGTATATGGAAATATTCTTGTATAAATTCGCTTTAGGCTGACGGCAATTTTCTGCATAATTTTGCTATCAAGTACCAAGCATTTTAGACTATTTTAGTTGAGATCAAGTCGGATTGGGAAAAATGTTTGCTCTAAGGGCCGTTGTAAAAACCGACAAAAATTTGTTCCCGGTTCTATGTAGGAGCAGTGAGTAGTTCATTTTTAATAAATATCATAGCAGGTTACAACTGCTGGAGTTGAATGCATTCTAAGAGGGTGAAGTCTGTGTTACATAATGAGCTCTAATGTTATTCAATCAACTATTTGAACTTTGATCGTTATATACACAAATTCATTATCTAATAAACGAAGTTATAAAATTTTTTTCTTTTTTGTTAGACCGTGGTGCTTCTGCAAAAGCTGTTAGTCAAGCAACTTTAGGCGTAAATGGCAAAGTATGTAAACTATGTTAAATATATTTCATATTTACCATACTTGTGTTATACAACCTGATAGATTGTTGCTGTAATTGGAGCCGTCGTAGACGTGCAGTTCGATGTTGACTTGCCACCAATTCTCAACGCCTTAGAAGTGGAGAACCGATCTCCACGTCTTGTATTGGAAGTTGCCCAACATTTGGGTGAAAACACAGTACGCACGATTGCTATGGATGGCACAGAGGGTTTAGTACGTGGTCAAAAAGTTCTAGATACTGGTTACCCCATTCGTATACCAGTTGGTGCTGAGACTCTTGGGCGTATTATCAACGTAATTGGTATGTTTAAAGCTATATATCACATTTCGTTAATATATTTGGTAAGCATTGCACAATATATTTTCTTTTCATTTATAATTAGGTGAGCCTATAGATGAACGTGGTCCAATTCCAACAAATAAAACGGCTCCAATCCATGCTGAAGCTCCGGAATTCGTTGACATGTCTGTGGAGCAAGAAATTTTGGTTACAGGCATAAAAGTCGTTGATTTACTGGCTCCCTATGCAAAAGGAGGTAAAATTGGGCTGTTTGGCGGGGCTGGTGTAGGTAAAACTGTGCTAATTATGGAGTTAATCAATAACGTAGCTAAGGCTCACGGTGGTTACTCGGTGTTTGCTGGTGTTGGTGAACGCACTCGTGAAGGAAATGACTTGTATAATGAAATGATTGAGTCTGGCGTTATTTCACTCAAAGATAAGACGTCGAAAGTTGCTTTGGTATACGGTCAGATGAACGAACCCCCAGGCGCCCGAGCTCGTGTTGCATTGACTGGATTGACTGTTGCCGAATATTTCCGTGATCAGGAAGGACAAGACGTGTTACTTTTTATTGATAATATCTTCCGATTTACACAAGCTGGCTCAGAAGTATCAGCTTTGTTGGGCCGTATTCCATCTGCAGTAGGTTATCAACCAACTTTAGCTACTGACATGGGCTCCATGCAAGAGCGTATTACCACTACCAAAAAAGGCTCAATCACATCAGTGCAAGCTATTTATGTTCCAGCTGACGATTTGACTGATCCTGCCCCAGCTACAACATTTGCTCACTTGGATGCTACAACTGTATTGTCGCGCGCTATTGCGGAATTGGGCATCTACCCAGCTGTAGATCCCTTAGATTCTACATCACGAATTATGGATCCTAATATTATTGGCCTAGAGCACTACAACGTAGCACGTGGCGTTCAAAAAATTTTGCAAGATTATAAGTCTTTGCAAGATATTATTGCTATTTTGGGAATGGATGAGTTGTCGGAAGAGGATAAACTTACCGTAGCCCGGGCTCGCAAAATCCAACGTTTCCTTTCACAGCCTTTCCAGGTGGCAGAAGTGTTCACTGGTCACGCCGGTAAACTAGTTCCATTGGAGGAAACTATCAAGGGATTCAACCAAATATTAGCAGGCGAATATGATCATCTTCCGGAAGTTGCTTTTTATATGGTAGGACCAATCGAAGAAGTTGTGCAAAAAGCCGAACGTCTAGCAAAAGAAGCTGTCTAAGCTGGAAATATCGACTATATTTTAAAACTTGTTGCCAATTACACATGTATTACAATTAACTAAATATTTTGAAACCGATAATCCGTTATCGAATAAACACTACCTATATCTTATTTAAAGTTTTACTACATTTATAATTATTTTATTTGTTTACGTCTTTTGTGTAAATAATCATTATAAAATCAGGATACTGTCGAGATTTGTCAGAATTTAATGTAGAAAATATAACTTTTTCGACACGATTTGTTGTTTGGACTAACGATCATGCATTTCGCTAGCTAATTTCTAACGATAATCGACAACGGACAATTCATTTTTCTAAACGTCACGGCAAGCACAAATAGGAATGACAAAAACAAATAATCAGGGGTGTTACAGAAACATATTGTTCTCGGAATCCGAATTGAAACCGACAAAATTCTGTTAAAGGGGTTACACATTCCGCTAGTTGATTTGCATATCGGCTTCACTTTCGAAACAGAATTTGTTTCGATTTTAGGTGTTACAGAAACCGATTTATTGGTTTAAATCCCAGATTTAAATCGTTAAGTCTTTGACAGAAATGCGTGCAAGCTTTGCAAACCGAAATTTAATAAAATTGTAAGTCATAAACAATGGATATTTCAACCAGCAATGCCTAAACTGCGGTCACGATGATGGTCACGAGCTCCCCGTTTTTCATTGTTGTTCATTCCTAAAATTATCCAGCGTGGGCAATTCAAACATTTAAAAGCCTTAGCATTTTAGTTATAATCATCGGAATTGTAGGTCGCGTTAAGGAGCTATTTGAGTCCCACAGACCGTTAATAAGAGCCTTCTGCCAAAAATTGCACTGTGGCTGCAAATTGGATCATATGTGGAATAGACAGCCTATATAACTGGTCTTCATTCAGAACTGGACATTCAGAACTGTTACAAAGGCTTCTTTGTTAAAAAATATCGATAACAAACAAATTTTATAGTTTATAGGTCTTCTATACCCTTACATCAAAAAATTAAGATGTGGCATGCTAGAAAATTCGCCAAAATAACAAGTCGGACATCTGGTAATATTACAGTTACTTTAAAAAGGGGAATCCCACGATTAGTTTGTTTTCGTTTAAAAATACATATGTATATAATCAAACCTAGTAGCTTAAAATAAAATTTCAGTAGTTTATTTGGGAAAAAGGTGAAAAGTTCAAATATGGGTAGACAGCGTGGACAAAGCTCAATTGAAGTAAGGAAGTTAATTATTAGTCATTATGAAATAGGAAAAACCATTCGGGGAATCGCAGAAATTGTGAGCAGACCCCGCTCGACTGTGTGATTAAACGATTCAAGCAAACAAAATCGTGGAAAACAAAAAGAAGTCTTGACGACCGAAGTTGTTTTCGGCTGCAGATGATCGGTGGATAGTGCAGCAAATCAAAAAAATCAAAACATGAGCGCTCCCAAGCTCTCAACAGAAATTTTCCACCATCTCAATATAAATTGTAATTCGGAGAGTATCCGAATAGTCTTACGAAAAAATATTTACAATAGAAACAGCATAAAATCGGCAAAATGTCATGGGGATAAGGATTTTCAATTCTGGAAACAAGTTTGATTTGCAGATGAAAGCAAATTTAATATTTTTAGGTCAGATGGACAGTCGTATGTTTGGAGAAAACCGAATGAAGAGTTGCTAGAAAAGAATTTACGTCCGACTGTTAAGCACGGGGGCGGCTCAGTAATGGTATTGGGTTGTATGTCCGCAGCTGGTACTGTAAATTTGTGTATCAAAAATGTTAATATGGACCACAAGCAATATCTGACCATTTTAAAAGAAAATTTAACGCAATGTGTGGAAAAGTTGGGAATTAAAAAAAATTTCCGGTACTACCAAGAAAACGATCCCAAGCTTGAAGCACTTGATGTCCGTCTATGGTTGATGTATAACTGTCCTAAAGTTATTGAAATACCTCCTCAATCTCCCGACATTAACGTAATTGAGCAGCTGTGGGCTCATTTCGAAAATAAACGGAAAATGCATGTTAATAGAAATACGAAAGATAGAATCCGCTATTTTGGAAGAGTGGAGGAAAATAAATTCTGTAACATGCAAGACGTTAGTTGAATCTTTGCCAAGTAGACTGAAGGCTATCAGAAAAAGTAAAGGCTTGCCAACCAAATATTAAGAAAGTTTTGTTTCTCTTTAAATAATATTTTTAAATTTTATGTTACGAGTTCTGGGGAAAATTTTTGTTTAGAGCCACAGGCTTTCGTAAATAAATTTTATATGGATGGAAAGATGAAAAAGCTTAGATTCTAAAACAAATTTTCTTTTCTTTAGCTGACTTATAGTTTTTAATTATTCTATTTTATATTTTGAGTAATAAATGCAAAATTACGTCTACATTGGAGTTTCCGGACTACTAAGTAAAATAATACTTAAGTACAGAGCCTGTTTGTTTGTATTGTTACGATTTTACTAAATCAACCTCGATGATTTTCTGAATTCTTCGGGTACAATCTCTGGATTGTTAAATAAAACTCGCCAACTTAATTTGCAGTTTCTTTCGTTACAAAGAATTTATCTAATGTCCTTAATTTACTCAGTGATTCACAATCCAATTGCAAGGCACTTTACTAGCTACAATCACTTGCATCAACTTCCGCAATTTACTGTACTTAAATGTAATCCCAACACGTTTACTTTACGACTTTACTGATGTTAACGCCAACGAGCTCACTTTGTAACTAACTTGACATGTAGCTGAGTGTCGCCCTTATATAGCAGACGAAAGCGTAGAAGCATCGAATTGTTCGCTATGGAAGGTTCACTACGTCATTTAGCCGTTTGATTACCTTATATGGATCTTCCCAATTACATTGAAGTTTTGGGGACAAACCCCTCTTCCGTTGTGGATTGCACAGCAACACTAAATCTCCATTTTGGAAACCCTCGGAGTTCATCGCCTTGTCATACCTGGCCTTCATTTTGTCACTCATAACTTGAGTTCGCTGTCTCACAAGAGCATGTACCTCTCTTAGCTCTTCCTCGAGATCGGTAGACGTTACCTTCCCAATTCTTCTCGCATCGCCAGTTATTCCAAATTTTAAATCGCTGGGCAACCGTAGTTCACTACCAAACAGTATCCTCGCAGGTGTTTGCCCTGTAGTTACATGCACGGCGGATCGATATCCCATCAAGAAAAGCGGTATATGCACATCCCAATCATCCTGATGCTTGTCCACTACTTTTCGCAAGTGCTCTTCCAGGGTCCGGTTGAATCGCTCTACCATACCATCTGATTGAGGATGTAGGGCTGTCGTTCGGGTTTTTCGAATACCAAGTATTTGGCACATCTCCTGGAACACCGCCGATTCAAAGTTTCTTCCCTGATCTGAGTGCAATTCTATAGGCGCACCGTATCTGGTAACCCAATTGTTAGTGAATGCATCCGCAACTGTTTTTGCTTCTTGGTTTGGGATTGGGTAAACTTCAGGCCATTTACTGAAATAGTCCATAAAATAAATAAGTAAATCCCAAAGGATAATATTTGCAAAATGGTAAAGATTCAGGATTTTACGATACCTCTTCTCAAGAGGGAGTTGGCAAAGCGAGGATTATCGACAACTGGAAATAAGGCATAGCTGCAATCGAGACAGCGAGAAGCAATGGAAGTTGAAGGCATCGACTTGAACCAGTACGAGTTCCATTGCGAGGATGAAGATGTATCCTTGAAGGACATTGACAAGGAAGAGGCTGATGATTCTGTGAAGGCTCCTGGTTAATCTAAGGGTATTGACATGAACATGTTATTGACTGCGATTTCACAAAAGTTGGATGCACAGGACACGGAAATGAACGCAAGCATCTTACAAAATATATCTGAAGTGAAGCCCAGCATCTCACAAAATTTGTCTGAAATGAAAGCCAGCATTACATCACAAATGGTTGAACAGAGGGAGCAGATATTATCCTTGGAAGGAACAATAGCGCAGTTACAGCAAAATCTGGTGAGGAACAATGCGGAACTTAAGGATAGGCAGGATCTAATTGAGACCAAAGTCAACGCATTGAAAGTCGTTTCCGGGAATTGCAGCTAAATTGTCCTACCGCTTCAGTGAACGCTCTGAAGGTAAAAACACCATCTTTTGACGGGAAAATCCCATTTCTAGTCTTTAAGCTCCAATTTGAGAAGACAGCTGAAACAAACAACTGGAGCATAGAGAAAAAATCCGCTGCACCATTCGTTGCGTTGGAAGGACCTGCAGCCGAACTTTTGCAAAACATAGCCGTAAACGAGAGAAATGATTACGACGGATTGATGCAAGCCCTGGATGGAGTTAGAAAAGCGCGACCAAAAATTCAACGAATCTCTGCAGGAATATGCTTCCGAAGTTGAGAGATTGGCTCATTTAGCCATTGGAGACACATCGGGTGATCATCTTGAAAGGGCGAAGATACAAAGATTCATCAGCGGAATAAAAGACGTGTACGTCAAGCGAGAGACATATGCGAATCCAAAGTTGACATTCGCTGAAACTGTTGCGTATGCACAAACACGTGAAACGGCGGCGCTCATAAGCAGACCATCTTACAAAGTCAATAAAGTGGAGGTTGAAACACCAGATGTGATAACAGAAATATTGAGAACCCTGAAATCGCTGGAAGGGATGAATCGTTCTGATTTCAAAACTCAAGCGGGAAAGTGCTTTAAATGTGGGAGGCCTGGTCACTACGCACGCGAATGCAAAGCCAGTTCCAACGCACAGGAGGTACAGCGAAAACGGAAGGCAGAGGAAGATGAACCATCAACTTCTCAATCGTTAAACTAAAACGAGCTAGCCTAAAGGAGCGTAAGCTGGCTCCAGCAATTGAATGCCCCATACTTTTCATATCGCAAAAGGGCAGAAAACCGAGCAACATTACTATTGGTGGATATGTCGATGGACGAGAGCGAATACTAACAGGGGATACGGTCTGATCTCTAAAGAAGTGAGACCATTACCTGGAGCAATATTGAAAACGGCGACTGGTGAGGATAGCCAAGTGGTGGGGGAAGTAATGTGGGAGGTCACCGTAAGTAATATGACGGTGCTACACAGCTTTATCGTCTCGCATATTGTAGATGAGATAATCATAGGAGTGGACTTTTTGAC